CTCCCAAAGTGCTGGGATTACAGGCATGAGCCACCATGCCCAGCCTGAAGAAAATGTTTCTGTCCTTAAAGAATTTGAGAGTTCAGAAATAAATCCACGTATCTGTGGCCAAGCGATTTTTGACAAGGGGGCCAACTCTATCTGGTGGGGAAAGAACAGTCTCTTCAACAGATGTTATGGGGAAAACTAGATTTTCATACACAAGAGAATTAAGTTGAACCTCACCTATCTCACACCATATACAAAAGTTATCTCAATGATCTAAATATAAAAGCTAAAACCACAAAACTCTTAGAAGAAAACATAGAGGTAAATCCTCATGACCTTGGATTTGGCAATGGATTCTTAGATAGGACATCAAAAGGATAGCAGCAAAAGAAAAAACAGATAAACTGGACTTCATCAAAAGTTAAAACTGACTGGGTGTGGTGGCTCACACCTGCAATCCCAACAATTTGGGAGGCCAAGGTGGGAGGACTGCTTGAGTCCAGGAGTTCAAGACTAGCCTGGGCAACACAGGGAGACCCCATCTCTACAAAAAAATTTAAAAACTAGCCAGGCATGGTGGTGCATGCCTGTAGTCCCAGTTACTCGGGAGGCTGAGGTGGGAGGATCACTTAAGCCTGAAAGGTCAAGGCTGCAGGTGAGCTGTGATTGCACCACTGTACTCCACTCTTGGCAACAGAATAGACCCTGTCTCAAAAAAACAAAAACAAACTAAAATTTCTGTGCATCAAAGGACATTATCTAGAAAGTGAAAAGACGAGGATGAGAGAAAATATTTGGAAATCATATATCTGATAGATGTTTCACATTCTGAATATATAAAGAACTCTACTGCTCAAAAACACAAAAGACAACCCCATTTAAAAATGGGCAGAGGGGCCGGGCACAGTGGCTCACACCTGTAATCCCAGCAATTTGGGAGGCTGAGGCGGATGGATCACCCGAGGTCAGGAGTTCAAGACCAGCCTGGCCAACATCGTGAAACTCCGTTTCTACTAAAAATACAAAAAATTAGCCAGGCGTGGTGGCAGGCACCTGTAATCCCAGCTAGCTACTTGGGAGGCTGAGGCAGGAGAATCACTTGAACCCGGGAGGCGGAGGTTGCAGTAAGCCAAGATCGTGCCATTGCACTCCAGCCTGGGCAACAAGAGCAAAACTCCATCTCCAGGAGAAAAAAAAAAGGCAAAGGACTTCAACAGACATTATTCTAAAGAAGACATACAAATAGTCAATAAGCATATGAAAAGATGCTAAACAACATTAACCACAAGAGAAATGCAAATCAAAACCACAATGAAATACAACTTCACATCTACTAGGATAGCTATACTAAAGATAAACAGAAAATAATGAGTGTTGGCAAGGATGTGGAAAAACTGGAATCCTTGTACATTGCTAGTGGGACTGTAAAATGGTGAAGCTGTCATACAAAATGATATGACAGTTCCTCAAAACCTAAACAGAGAATTACTATACGACCTAGCAATTCTGCTGCTAGGTATACACCCAAAAGTTTTGAAATCAGTCACTCAGACACCTGTATACTATTGTTCATTGTAGCATTTTCCAATAGCCAAAAGATGAAAACAACCCAAGTTGTCCGTCAACGTAAGAATAAATAAAATGTGGTATATACACTTGATCTTAGCCAAAAGGCTGAGAAGTAATAAAATGCATACATATACAAAGGATATTCCTTTTTATTCAGCCAAAATAAGGAGTGATATTCTGACATATGCTATAACATGGATGAACTATGAAAATTTTATGCTAAGTGAAACTGTCAGACAAAAAATGACAAATTCCACTTACATAAAATACTCAGAATAGGGACATTCATAGAAGCAGAAAGCAGATTAGATGTTCCCTGGGAAAAAGGGAAGGGATAAGGAGAAGTCTCAGTTTCTTTTGCGTTGCTATAAAGGAATACCCGAGGTTGCGTAATTTATAAAGAAAAAAGGTTTATTTAGCTCATGATTCTCATGTCTGGAGAAGCTCAAGATTGGGCATCTGCATTTGGTGAGGGCCTCAAGTTGCTTCTACTCATGGCAGAAGGCAAAGGGGAGTTGGCAGTGTAGAGAGTACGTGACCAGAGAGAAAGCAAGAGAGATGGGGGTGGGGTGGGGTAGGGTGGGGGGGGTTGGGGGAGAAGGTACAGGCTCTTTTTATCAAACAGTTATAGTGAGAACTGACAGAGCAACAACCCATTCACCTCCAAAGGAGGGCATTATTCATGTATTCATGAGGGATCTGCCCCCATGACCCAAACACCTCCCATTAGGCCCCACTTCCCAATACTGCCACACTGGGGATCAAATTTCAACATGAGATTTGGTAAGGACAAATATCCAAACCATAGCAGGGAGTTATTGCTTAATGGTTACTGTGTTTCTGTTTAAGGTATTGAAAAGTTTGGCAAACAGTGACAATGATCGCACAATACTGTGAATGTACTTAATGCCCCTGAATTGTACACTAAAAAATTGTTAAAATGGCAAATCTACGTTATATATATTTTACCACTTCAAAAAGTTATTTATATAAAAAAGAAGCGTATACTTTAAATGGGTGAATTACATGGTATGTGAGTTATAGTTCAGTAAAGTTGTTAATAAAAAAAAAGAAAGAAAGAAAAGCAGGTGTCCTAGCCGTAGTGTCTCTTGGGATGCAATTACACCTGAAACCAAAAGATAACATCTGTCTTTGTCCCCAGTTTCCACTTCACTCAGAAATATCTGTCACATAGATCTCCAAGTTACAAATTTGATTTAATAAACACATGGCATATTCTAAGTTTACCCCGCATACCAACAGTTATTGGGTACTTATGTACCAGGCTCTGGGCAGGACACTAACCTCAGAGTGGGGGAGTCTGGAGAGACCAAGAGATGATTATAGTACAACAATGGGAGTGTCCTTATAAAGGGAAGCAGCATAGGACAGAATGGGAAGGGTCCTAGCTCTGCCAAAGAAGGCTTTGGTTTAAAACTTTGGAGAAAAGTGGCCAGGCGTGATGGCTCACACCTGTAATCCCAGCACTTTGGGAGGTCAGATCACTTGAGGTCAATAGTTCGAGACCAGCCTGGACAAAATGGTGAAATCCTGTCTCTGCAAAAATAGAAAAATTTGCCTGGCATGGTGGCGCACATCTGTAAATCCCAGCTACGCCAGAGGCTGAGGCACAAGAATCTCTTGAACTCGGGACATGGAGGTTGCAGTGAGCCGAGATCGTGCCACTGCACTCCAGCCTGGGCGACAGACGGAGACTGTCTGAAAAATAAAAAAATAAAACTTGGGAGCAAGAAATTAATCCACTGTTGTTTTTAAACTCTTATGCATGTACTTAATTTTCAAGATTCTATGACCAAACTGGAAAATGATAAATACAAAAAAATCCATCTATTTTTGCAAATATGTTATTAAAATGTAAATAAAAAAGATGAAAAACCATATTCCACTTATTTTCACTGATGGAGATGATGCCAAGCACTTGAAACTTCAAAGAAAGCTTTTTCAGTATCTCATACTTACCCATCAATCTTTTAAAATCCCTTCCCTAGCAACCCAACACCTAAGTTTCAGAGCATGACTTAAACACCAACATGTTCATCTAATCCTACCTGAATTTTGCTTTAACTTAGGTTTATCCTTACTGGGGACTGAAATGATTTGCTCAAGATAAACCGAAGTCAGTGTAAAAATTACTCAGATGATAGTAGTTACTAGGATGCTCATAGTTCCCTTTTCAACAAAAGCCCCAGGTATGACCAGCCAATAATGCAAGTCACACTTAAGTGCTGACATCTTCATACCCGGCCCGGCCCCGTATGAAGTGAGGGGGGTCTCCAGTAAAGTCAGTCAGGAAGCTCCTCGAGCCAAGTATTCCCAAATGCTACTTACTGGAGGTACAAAAATGAGAATAACTTTTCTGAAGTTATTCATTTCACAATCTATACCAGAAGCCTTGTGGTATAGATTCTTGTGGGATTCATTCTACACAAATGATCATGCTCAAAATCCCAGATGCAACGGTGCTCAGTTAATTACTTTTTGCAATAACTAAAAACTGGAAACCACTTGGGCGCTCACAATCAGGGAGAAACTACCTTTAGTAAATCACATTCCAGTCAAAGCCATGCCAGGAGTCAGGGATAGATGAGGCAGTCAACCTGGCACACAGGAATGTACAGTCTAGTGTGGCCAATAAAAAGGACGCAGAAAAACATTTAAAGATACGGGTAAATGCATGTGATGTATTATTAAGACAATGAGGCCGAAGGTTGAGGCTGCAGCAGTGAGCCGAGATCGCGCCACTGCATCATTCCAGCCTGGGCGACAGAGCGAGATCCTGTCTCAAAGGAGAGAGAGCGAGCGAGAGCGAGCGAGCGTGTTTCAGCACTTTATGATGCAGGTTCTGCAAAAATAAGTCCCGCTCATATTACAAGGAAAAACCGTCTGGAAGAAAATACATCTTCATGTTAACCCAGCTTGTCTCTGGGGAACACGGGCACGGCTGCTTTGCTTGCTTCCTTGTTGCTTTCTGTTCTTTTTTTCGACAGTGACAAATATTATATTTAGAGTTCGCGAACAGGTCGGAGGCGGGTGCGGCAGGTCGCGGGGCAGGGCCTGGCCAGGCAGGGACGGCCAGGAAGGGACGCCCCCGCACCGCCCCGGTCTGGCCCCGCGCCCCGCCGCACCTCTACCTTTACCCGCGGTGAGCGGGAGCCGGGTCCCGCCCCGAGGCCTGGGATCACCGGCGGGCCGGCTGGAAGCGTCCGGAACTCACCCAGCGCCTCACCCGCCTGGGTCTCACCGACCGCGCAGACACCTCCCGCCGCCGCCGCCCAGAGATGGCCGCCGCCTGCGCAGCAGGGCCGAGGGCGTGGGGATGCCGGGGGCTGCGCGCAGGGGCTTCCAGGGTGCGGAGCTGACGGGCCCGAGGCGTCCAGGCGGGCGCAGGCGCGACCCCGACCCCACCCGGGCTGCTACCTCACCTGTGCGCTGTGGGCCGTGGGAGGCTCTGGGGTAGGTTTCACCAAACAACCGGTTGGTTCCGACTCGGCTACGTAGGCCGCGTGGCCTTGCTTCCCTCGCAGAGAAACAGGCGCAGCCGGCGCAGAGGTTGAAAGCTCTGCGGGCGCGAGTACCAAACGCGCCGACTGTTTGTCGCGCCTCAGGTCCCCTGGGGCGCCCAGTGCAGGAGGCCACCCCTCCCGCCGCCACGGACCCAACCCCGGTCCTCTGCCTTAGCCGAAGGCCGCACCCTCCGCACACAGGCCTTCCTCAGCCCCAACCCAGGACATCACCAGGTCCCGCAGTGCGTCCAGTCTTCCCGCCCGCAAGTGTGGGTAGGAGCCGGCCGCTGGCCCCGCGCTGGGCACAACCTGGTGGGCTAAACCAGCCCTGTGCCTGCTCTGCAGCTATGGGGAAGGGAAACCTGGTCATGGCAGCTATGGCATTCGCTCCTTAAAACCTCTTTATGGAGTCTCATTCCTTTTTTAAAGACCCAAACTACTTAAGGTGGGCATGAAGCCTCCATGTGTGATCTAGCCCCTGTCTGCTTGGCTTCATTTAGGTCCTTAAAGGATGCAGGTTTCTTCTCACCTAGGGCATCTGCAAATGCTCTTCCCTCTGCCTGAACACTCCTCACCTCTTCCCTGTTGTGAGTGTTCTTCATATATAATTTCTTAGGTTATACTATCCTGGCCTATGAAACTTTGCAGCATTGCTGGGTGTGGTGGCTCATACCTGTAATCATGGCATTTTGGGAGGCAGAGTGGCGGATCGCTTGAGTCCAGGAGTTCAAGACCAGCCCGGGCAACATGGCAAAAAAAAAAAAAAGAAAGAAAAAGAAAAAGAGAGCGAGAGAATGAGAAAAAAAGAAAGAAAATAATTAGCAGCTCAGGCCTGTAATCCCAGCTACTTGGGATGCTGAGGTGGGAGAATTGCTTGGGCCCCAAAGGGAGGTAGAGGCTGTAGTGAGCTGTGATTGCACCATTACACTCCAGCCTGGGCAACAGAGCGAGACCCTGTTTCATTAAAAAAAAAAACACACACACACACAAAAACCAGCCGGGCTCAGTGGCTCACACCTGTAATCCCAGCACTTTGGCACTTTGGGAGGCTGAGGCAGGCATGGCAAAACCCCGTCTCTACTAAAAGTACAAAACTTAGTGGGGTGTGGTGGTGCATGCCTGTAGTCCCAGCTACTTGGGAGACTGAGGCAGGAGAATTGCTTCAACCTGGGAGGTGGAGATTGCAGTGAGCTGAGATTGCGCCACTGCACTACAGCCTGGGTGAAGAGCAAGACTGTCTCAAAAACAAAACAAAACAAAACAAACAAACAAACAAACAAAAAAAACCAGCTGGGCACGGGGGCTCACACCTGTAATCCCAGCACTCTGGGAGGCCAGGGTGTGCGGATTGCCTGAGGTCAGGAGTTTGAGACCAGCCTGGCCAATGTAGTGAAACCCTATCTCTACTAAAAATACAAAAATTAGCCGGGCGTGGTGGCATGCTTCCGTAATCCCAGCTACTCAGGAGGCTGAGGCAGGAGAATGACTTGACCTCAGGAGGCAGAGGTTGCAGTGAGCTGAGATCACCTCACTGTACTGCAGCCTGAGCCACAGAGTGATACTTCATCTCAAAAACAAAAACAAAAACAAAACACAAAGATTGCAGCACCAGAGATTCTTCTTCCTAGCCCCTTTCAGGGTGTGCAATAATTTGTGTAATTTTTGTTGAATGTGTAACTTAACAGTAGACTGAGATCCATGAAGGCAGAGACCACGGCCGCTTGGCTCTCATTCTTGTATGTCTCACATCTGCACCGCGCAGGCCCATATTAGCTCTGGTAAATATTTATTAAATGAATGAATGAATGAAGAGCAGGCCTGGGTAGCGTCTTAGGTGGCCTTGATTTTCAATTTAAGGAGGACACAATATTGCCTACAGAGAGTGAGAAAAGTTGTTGAGTGGGCCATGTGAGGAGCAATGAGTGGTCCCTGTGGAGAGTGGGCCCAGTCATAGAATAGAGACAAGTGAAGGGATTTTGGAGGGTTTTGAGGGCCCAGCGTATTTGGGGGCTGCTATGGCTTGAATGCTGGTATCTCCCCGAAATTCATATGTTGAAACCTAACCCCCAACACATTCAGATTAAAAGGATGAGTCCTTTGTAGGGGAAATTGGTGCCCTTGTGAAAGAGGCTTGAGGGAGCCTGTTTGACCTTTCTGCCATGTGAGGATGCACTGAGAAGACACCATGTTTGAAGCAGAGAACAAGCCTTCAGCAGACTATGACTCTGCTGGAGCCTTGATCTTGGATGTCCCAGCCTCCAGAACTGTGAGCAATACAATTCTGCTGTTTATAAATTACCCAGTCTAAGTGTTTTTTTTTTTGTTTTTTTTTTTGAGACAAGGTTTTACTCCAGGTTGGAGTGCAGTGCAGTGCATATCACAGCCACTAACAAGCCATGATCCACATCCTGGCCTGGGCTCAAGCAATCCGCACCGTTTCACCTCAGCTCAAGGGAGCTGGGACTAGAGGTGCATGTCACCACCTGGCTAATATTTTAAAACATTTTTTTATCGGAGCCGGGCACCGGTGGCTTCAAGCCGTGGTAATCCCAGGCACTTTGGGGGCCGAGGCGGCGGTATCACGAGGTCAGGAGATCGAGACCATCCCCTGGCTAACCGGCAAACCCTGATCTCTACTGAAAAAAAAAAAATATCCAAGAAAACTACCGGGCGATCGGTGCGGCGCCCTGTAGTCCCCAGCTACGTGGGAGGCTGAGGCAGGAGAATGGCGAAACCAGGAAGGCCGGAAGCTCTGCAGTGAGCTGAAAAATCCGGACACTGCAACTCCAGTCCTGGCGACAGAGCGTCGACTCGTGTCTCAAAAAAAAAAAAAAATTTCTCTTTATAAACGAGCAGGTCCTACCTATGTCGCCCAGGCTGGTCCTCAAATTCCTGGCCTCAAGGCATCTCCCACGCTTGGCTCCCAAAGTGCTGGGATTCACACGGCTTGAGCAACCTGTAGCCTAT